AGGATGTGGACAGCTACTGTTAGGGGCATAAAGTCTCCAACAGCTTGGAAAACAATCTGGCAACATCATGCACATGTGAACAATTTTACTCTATCGCCCAGCAGTTTTATCCCTAGATAAACACTCTGTATAAAAATTCGTGCACACATGTACTAAAATAACTTTCCAGAACGTTCATAAAAGCATTGTACATATTAACAACAAACTGAAAGCCAAAATGTCTACTTAAAGAATGGATAAAAATAAATTACGGTATATTTACACAATGGCATTATATAATCTTGAGAATAAACTAGAGTTACAAAGAAAATGAACGAGTCTTATGAAAAAAGTATGTTTGGAAGACTATACATTATGTTGTAACAGTCTTATAATATTTATTAATATGTAAAATGAAACAGCATATTCTTTATTGATATAGCTGTATGTAATAAAAACTATTTAGAAAGAAAGGGAATGGCAAATTGAAAACCCAAGACAACAGAAGAAACACGCAGGTAGTTTCAGGGTCATGATAGTATTCTCCTCATGTTTGCTTCATAATTTTCAGATTTGTCACTTAGTATCTAATATATTTCAGATATTACATACACCATGAATATGATGTAATAAGACATGATAAACACTCTGGTAGAAATTGCTAAATTTCGGTTAACTATCTGCCAGGAAGGACGTGATGACCGAGGGCAGAGAGTCCAGAGACAGACCCTGCGGCTTCTAACCTGACTTTCCCACTTACTAGCTGCATGACCTTGGGAAAGTTGCTGAAGTGTCCTGTGTCTCAATTTTCACATCTGTAAAAGAGAAACGATAGAAGAATTTATTTTTTATTGGGGTCACTGTGAGGATGAAATGCATTTGTAAACGTAAAGCACTTAGGAGACTGCTTGGCACGTGACAGGCACGTCTGCTCTCATCTTCGTCACTCTGGGGGGCCAGGTACACGACCTGTCCTGGTCTCAGCTTACTTGTTTTCACAATGCGATCATAGGATTATTGTGAAATAAGAAAAAAAAAATGACATTGTGCAAAGCACTCATTAGATACTCAGTAGATTAAAATATAACTTTAAAGATTTTGACTCAGTGTCATGGATTTCCTGTATTTAGCTTTGAAATTAAAAAACTAGTCACATGGTAAGGAACTAAAGCTGCTAATCCTTGGGATAATTTATGTAGCGCACAAAGCCGTTCTTTCAAGTGCAGTTAGCCATGGCGTATACTAGTTTTTCACTAACATCCCTATTGGGATTCTGTTTGAAAACTGGGTGTAATATCTTCCTTAATATTTTATTAAATTACATCTTGCAATTATAATATTTCCGAAAATGTGGAGCAATCTATCATCCTATCCATTCAGGAAGAAGCAGCCTTCTCAGTTTCATGCAGTGTCTTCCAGCCCTCCTCCTGTGCTCCAAAAAAATGAAATCGAGATCAGACAATTGAACATGTGGAGGAGCAGACAAGGAAGGGAAGGGATTCCAGTGTCCACACGTTCGAGAAGGTGATGGTTATGGATCCTGCAGGGGCCCCCACTGGAAGCTGACTCACCTTTACCGACTGTGCGCCATCTTACCGTCTCCTGTCACCAGGTGCAAATGGGACACCAGGCGGAGGCCAGGGGCTGACTCAGGAGGCTGGGATGCTCCATCCAAGGACACTGTGTGCCAAGAGTTTTCCTTTCCCCTCATGCTCTGGTAGAGTTGAAATCATTTTAGATGTGCTTCACGGAAACAAAAGGTATTTTTTGGGGGTAGAGTGGGGTGGTTATTTTGTTTTTAAGATAAACACATGCTTAATTTTTGTAGACCCTCAGTAACCACCAGTTGGATTCCCAGCAGCTTATGTAAGCTGTCAAATTCAAGGCAGGCTATGCTCATCTCATTTTAGCTTTCTTTTTGAAGTTGAAGCACAGAAGTCAGAGCCCAAGATGCCTTTGTCCTTTCTGTGGATGGTGGAGCATTTGTCAATATTAAATTTAATTTGTTTAAGAGCGGCTCGCTAACAGCGAGAACACAAAACTTGCTGAACTTCACTTTGCCTGTGTGTTCCGAACAGCCTGCGTTGGTGAACCTAATGAATTCAGCAATGAATTACCTTACCCAAATCTAGGTCAGCTCTGTTGATTAAAAATGTTATAGATTTAAGGACTGAGCCTATAAAAACCCACTTAAAGTTAAACTGTTTCAATACCTGTTCTGTCTCTTGTAATTCTTAAATGGAAGAATATATACTAATTACCAATCCAATGCGCCGACAGTAAGAGGTCATCATCAACAACAGACATTTATTGAGCGCCTATTGTGTGCAAGGCACTGTGCTAGGCATGGGGCTACAAAGACAAGGGAGAAACAGTCCCTGCTCTCAAAGAGCTTACAGTCTAATTAGACTAACGAGACACAGAAGGAAAAGGACGGACTATCCAAGGTAGCATATACTATTAGGATACTGAGTGGACACAAACAAGATTGCAGCCTTTTTTGCATTTCTGTGGTGGCTCAATACCCTGAGTAGGTGGGGGTGAGTGAGCTAGAATAAAGGGGTTCCTCTTAGTCATTTTTAAGCCTTGTAGACACTCTCCGCCCTCTTTCCATTCCAAGGTGCCTTCTGGCAGGTGCGAGAACCTAGGCAGTTGCTCACATTTACCCCGAAGGCTCATAGTTCTCATTGAGGTGGCCTTTTTTAGGGTGACCCACTGCCCTGGCTTCCTGGCACTGTCCTGGGTTTAGCACTGAAAGTCTGCCTCTCGGAACTCCTCCCCTCGACCCGGCGGGGCGCCAGGATGGCATTTCTGAAGTGCCTTGTCCTGCAGCCCGGTGTAGTCCTCCCACCTACTATGGTCATCGCTCTGGCAGGACCTACCCCAAATCTGTTCCCTGGGTGGGTCTCTAGTTTAAAAACCTGTAAGGAAGACCTTAACAGCCCCCAAAGACTGCTGGTTTAAGAGCACACTGTCAACACAAGAAGACAACCAGGAAGAATGGCAGAAATGGAATGGGGTTTAAGAGAGAAGCAGTAAGGCTGGAAGAAATGGTTGGGGCAGGAGTGAAGATGCAGAGGTGTTGACATCACCTCCTGACGCTGCAGAGAAGGAATGGGGACACAGACCCTTCTCTCAGAGGTCTGTTTAACAATTTGAATCATCACACCAGTGGAATCCAGGGTGCATTTCTGAAATGAGGTCACTCCTGCATCAGGGCAAATATTTGGGCCAATTAAATAAGTGCACGTGTGTTTAAATAACGCTCTCATTCCTACTAGAATTTCAACATTTTCCTTCCAGTTATGCCTTTCCCTTCTAAATCAATAAATTTAATTTTTGAGGTGAATTTTTATTTTAAAATGAGGTCATATCCTTCCATTTTAATGTAATTCAAATAGATCAGGAATGGAGAGAATTTCAGGAAACAAAGGTAGTCTGCCTTGAGGGGTCTTCTTTGGAATCTGATACACGTCTCCGGCAGTCCCCCAAGGATTCCAAGGGACCACACAGAAGCCTCTCTTTCAGGTGCAATATTTTGTGTTTTGCTCTCATTTATTGGTTGCAGAAAAGCTCTAACTCTGCAAACTTGGGACTCTGGAAGTTCCTGAATCTCTCTGGTTTTCTGTTTAGCCCTTAGGAGCACATACCAGGGTTAGTGAGGCACAGGGACTTAGTCACCAAACACCCATTAACCGTAATGCAAATCACACAGCGGAGTCCCCACGCAGCACACTGAATATTTACCTCCTAATGTTCTTTTAATGTACGCTTTCTTGGGTGAATATTTACTGTAGAATATTAAATGTAAGAGTCCTCTTTTTATGGGCCATTTGAAGTGATTGATTTTGTTTGTGTATTCCTGTATCTTTGCCCATAATGGCTATCTGCTGTAATGGCCTCTGCCAAATGTTCCTGCGTTGAAATAGCAGACGCCATGGATGCGCCAGCCATTTTTTTGTGTCACCGTGGTCTTAAGAGTGAGGGGGAAGCCGATGACACAGCTGGCGAGAGAGGGAAAGGTACGTAACATAACGAGTACGACTCAGGCTTCAACACAACTGGATGCTGAAATCACTGAGGTCTGTAAACATGGTTTTGCAGTCGTCTTTTATATCAAGAGTTGATTTTAATGGTGTTGAATGATGTCAAGACTGAAAGTCATGAAATGGTAGTGGCAAGAGAAGAATTCAATTGCCCACAACCGGGTCCAGCAGCACAAGCTATTAGAATTCGAGGTTATTTTCTTTAAATGCTGTAATAAACCCACTGCCCAAGCAATAGTTTCCTACATATTTACACCATATTTAAAAAAATATAAACTCACATACTCACACATCCTAGCCATATGCAGCTTTAAAATATTTCCCAGTGAAGCCAGGAATATCAGAAACCCTTTGCTTTACACTCTTTTGAGTCTTTGAGAGGGAGAAGTTACAAAAAAAGATGCAGCTATCGTGTGGTCTTAGAAGACAAAACAAAGCTTTTGTTTTTATAAAAACTCTAAAACCTGAAGACAACACAGACATTTGAGATATTACTGGATTAGGTAATAGAGCTACATCTTTGCATGTCCCAAGTATGCCTTTCTAAATTTCTAGAAAAATAAAACTTGTTAAAGGAGCTACTTACATCTGGGCAATGTAATCTTTTCCAGTGATGGGAAAGGTGGCCTATGAGTCATTTATGTAAAATTCTTAATGCTTTCTCGAAAGTTCATAAAGTATTGTTTGCTCAGAGTTCATGCTGTAGAAGAGATTGTGCTGGAATAAAATTCTATTGTCTCTTTAAAAACAACAACAAGAAAATTTGAAGAACACATCCCCATATGTTTTGGACAGACATTTCAGTGGTACTGGCTTTTACCAGTTCAAGCCGCATCACAACAATACCGACTTTATCTTTACTATATAAATACCTGGACTGTGTTTGCGCCTCGACAAGTTACTATATATAATTAACAGTACCAGTTGGTGCAAGAGACTGGAATCTTAGTACTAATGAAGGAAAGGGAAAAGAAATGGTAATGTGAAGAAACTTCTTTAATCACAAACCAGGTCACGTCTTGTAAAATAACGTCAGTCTCCATCCATCATATTTGCTGGTGCCTTCAGATTTGGCATTAGAGAAATGAATGCCCCCTAAGCCATGTGTAAGGAAAACACTGGTATATATTTTAAAAAGCTATTTTTTGAACATTATTACTTGCGTAAATGAAAATCTTTCCACTAGCTGATCTTGGCTCTGAATAAAATAAGTCCTTTACACTCCTGCAGACCAGGAAACGGCAGTGAATATAATGTCAGATTTGCAGTGAGTGAATCGGGATAGTTCATAGGGTCAGTGAGTCACATGATGAGGCATCTCCTTGTATCCTCTTCTCACAGACTCACAGAAGGGCAGTTCCTTGCTCTCGTAGCCAGGGAATAGCATGAAAGTTCTCTCTCTCTTTCCTCTTTGATGCATGAAGCACCAGAGAAGCAGGAAATGGATTTTCACCAAGGGGGACCAGGGAGGAGGTATGTTTTTAACTGCAAGAGGGAGATAGGTAGTAGGGGGTATAAAAGGCCCCCTAAAATAAGGCTCCTGCTGCCGTGGGAGCCCCATCATTCCAAGGGTGAAGTCCTTACCTGGGTCAACAAGAGGCTCATTGATAGGATTTCAGATTTGAAATGAAACTTAAGAGGTCCTCCGGTACTGGGACATCACTCTGTGAAAGGGGAAACTGGGGCCTAAGTGAAGTGACCGACATCAATCATTACTAAAGAAACTACCTTTAAGTTTCTCTTGGTGGTATCTTTTTTTGTTCAAGTGACACATTTTTTGGTTTTCAGTTTTGTCATTTGGAGCATTTCTGCACGTTGGAAAATGGCATAGCTGTTCTTGAAGCCTGAGGGTTCAAAGAATGCAATGCAACATTTCCAAGTCAAATACCATTGCATGCCAACAATGAGCACCGTGAATGCGGCAACTCATCTACCAGTCCCAGGCCTTTGCCAACCATCATTCTGGATTAAAGAGTTAGGAAGGATAAATTACCACACAGTGATAATCTATAAAAATACTGGCCTAGAGCACACTAAAAAACTCTCGATAAATAAATATTGGGCATTTGCTTTACGAAAGTCAGGGAAGATGCACTCTTCAGACATCACGTCCATACTTCCAGGCTGCGTTTTACAAATCACACATACAGAGTCCGACAGATGATGAAGGTTATAGTTTGGATTAGGATACAACGTGATAGAAAAATGCCTTTTGACGTGGCATTTCTATAAAGGAATGCAACTAATACTGCTGAGTTGCACGTTTCAGTTCCGAAGGCAATACTTAAAGAGATCCCAAGTGTTTTAGACATGGCAGCATCACTGACAGGAGTGTTCAGCCCCTAAGCTAACCCCCTTTGAAAGGGATAACACTCCTTGAGATGTCCTGATTCTGGAATTTTCCCTCACGAGCCAGCTGCACTGATTTGCAGTCACACCTCACAGGCGTCTGAACATGGTACTTCCTGAGGAGTGACACTGTCCCTGCCACCATTTCTGTTCCTCTTTCGCGTCTGGTTCAGGAAGTTCAGTGGCCGGATGTCTGAGTACAGTGGGTACTTGGGATTGTGGTCTGGCCACACACATTCCTCAGAATACAGGTTTATTCTCAGGATGATTTATAGCCAGTGATTCTGGTTTCCAGTCTGGTTGAAAGAAGTGAATGTTGAATGTCCGTGCCCAGTTCTTAAAGACTCGTTTCTCTGTGATAAATCGGTGATGACTGCCCTTCCGCCCTCGCTCATGGGAGAGGTACATTGTACATTCATCAGGTCCAAAAGGCTCGTAATAATGATACGGAACTGAAGGGTGACTGGGATCCCTGTAGGAGGAAAATGAGATAACTGATTAAAGACCAAAAAAAAAAGAAAAAGAATTCCTTTGACTGATTGCAGTAAGATGTTATCTTTAACAAGCTGATAAACACAAACCATATTTTCAAATTAAATGAATTTCAACTAATGATTTTTCTGATGTTTAGGCAATGTGTGAGTGGAGAGGTTCTGACATGAAATAAACTCAGTGACCAACATTATTAAACAATCAGATTTAAAAAAAATAAGGGTCTGGGACTAAGTGATCTGAGAGTCACTGGATTTTAACAAGCTGTTATTCTGCAATAGTTTAGACATAGAATGTAAGAGAGGAGAGGATTTTTACATGCTGATCAAATAAAAAATTCAGGAAATAGTGGATTTAAAATATACATTTAAAAATCCCTCTTACTATTTGACTATCATGATTTGTTAAACTTCATAAATGAAGAGCAAAAAAAAAGTATGCTGTAGGACATTCAGGTTTTTGAGATTTAGAAACTACACAGTGCTAAGACCAACGCTAGTTCTGACTTCCACTCTTGCCCCCTACAGTCTATTTAGCACAAATAGTTAGGAAGATATTTATGAAACAAAAACAAATCATTCTCCTTCCCCACCCCAAATCCCCCCAAATCCCCCAGGGGCTTCCATTTCTACTAAGAGCATGGCTGGCAGGGTGTTCTGTGATCTGGCTCCCCTCCAGAGCTTCTTCTAACCCACCCAGATTTGTTCCCTCTGCCCTCACCTTACTGGCCTCTCTGGTGATCAACACCACCAAGCTAGTCCCGACCCTGAGGCCTCTGCTCTTAAGGGTGGTCACTGGACTGGACATTCTCCCTCCAGCTCACTTCTGCTGCTGGGGTTCAACTCAAATGTGTCCTCCTCACCGAGGCCTTACCTGACACCTACCCCTTCACTCCATCTCTGAATTTACTTTGTTGATGGCATTGATCATTCTCTGAAACTCCTGTTCTTGCTTCTTTGCTTACAAAAGAGCAGATCTTTTTTGTCTTGTTCCTAGCAGGTGGTCAATAAATATTTTTTGAATGTTTGTTTGTTGAAAGAAATATAATTTATAAATATATTTACATGGAGTTAGCAGCTCAACAGCCAGCCTCTGCGGACAATTTCTCATCCAAGCGTGGAAAGTTGCTGATCCAAGTTTGATTCCATGGGAGAAAGACAGTGGGCAGGGTGCCACCGCTCTCACTTGTTGCTTTAGATGGATGATGTACTCAAGTCTAGAGTCTCTATATCAAGAAATTTCAGATCTTCAGTCTCTATTGTGTAGTCTGACAGTCCCAACATTTTTCTGTCTTTATATCCCTGTCTCCACCTCCAAGGAGAAACACTGGCTCATTTCTTCAAGGTAATGTGAACACGATTAACGTGTGGGGGTAGGTGGGTGTGCTGATGTGGGGTTACTAAAATATCTAACCCCCAAAGAGCCCTGGTCTCAGACCGGTTTCCGTTCTAGGCCAGTCCACCCCATCTCTTCTGTCTTGAAGCCTAAATAGTAAGAGTAGTCACGCCATCCCAGCAGGTAAACCTTCCTCTCTTGAACTACACTCACCAACTGGCCTTGTTGCAGAATCTAAGCTCTTGTTGGTCTCTTCTTAGCTCTTCTCTTAAAAGGTCCAAGCGTCCCAGCTTCCTGCAAGCCACCTCCCGGTGCCTGATGCCTTGGGGTCCCCCTCTGGAACTTGGGCTCTATTCCAAGTACGGTAACTTGGCTTCCCAGAGCGGCTCATCCTGCTGGATACCTATTCGTTTTCTTCAGAGGAGATCAATACACAGATGGCTTTCAGAGTAGCAACTTTACTGGGGTCAGGGATCGAAGTCTTTTATCAAGAGGGGTGTCGAGTTTGTGGCTCTGACAACAATAAACCTTCGAGCTTCCTCTCCTCTGGGGTTAAAGTTCTTCCGGGAAGAGAGACTTATTTTTGTCATGCAGCATTTAAACATCCCTCGTCCTGGGCTGGGTGCTGTGCTGAGTGAATACTTTGCCTCTCTGTTATGCCTGTCTCAGAAGTATCTCAATGTTCCACAGTGAAACATCAGACCCTGTCCTATCGCGTTGCTATAGAGTTCACTTCCTTACCTACCCTAGAAATTGGAGTCCTCTTAAAATTTTAATAGAAGGTGTTTTCAGTACAGAATGTGTATGGTAGGAGAAATTCAAGTTGGAACTGACTAATATGAAGAAAATAATAATAAACAAAAAGAAACAGAAATTTATGAGACAAATCTCCCCAGATTCATATGGCGTCACTGGGGGACCACACTAAATTCATGTTGCCATGGCAGACTTGGGTTAAGCTTTTATTCTAGTATGGATCAGGTTTTAAATCTGATTCATCCAAGATTTAGACATATTGTTGGCATCAATCTGACTAAAGAAACGATTAGGTTTCTAAAAATATCAGGAGATTGATTTGGCACCTAGGAATAGGGGGAAACTGGAAACCGGCTAAAGGACGCTACAGGATCAATTTCCTTATTCAGGAAGGCCATCTCCTTGAAGGAAAATATATCTGGCTCCACACTGATCTCCAAAAGGGATAATTAAATTTACAGAGTTGGTTATTGTGTTTTCAAAGGTGTCCAAGTCAGTGGGTGCTGTTTCCACACTCTAAAACTTTGCCCAAATGGCAGAAAAGCGCTTGGTGGAACTTAAGAAGGCAGAGCCGAAGCAACTGCGGGCAGCTGTCGTCCTCGGAGCCGTTCAGAAAGCCCTTCCTTCAGAAAGCTGAAGGTGATAATTCCCTAGGTCTTTTCTCAAGCCTGACTTTCTAAAGGCTGCCAAGGCTTTTTCTCCCCTAACCTGATCCAAATGAAAACAACAATAAAAGTCAGCGGAATTTTCACGCCAGGAGGCTACTGTTGTGAAAGGGAGGATTCTGGCACCCCAGCTGCTATTTTGGGCCAGGGGACGCTCAGGGAGTGAGGTGTGGGGGCGACAGGGGGCATGGTAATCATAGAGCCACTTCCCCAAGCGGTTGCAGCCTGTCGTCAGCTCTCCAGGGGCCAGTGTGGAAACAAACCCTGCAGAACAGTGTGAAGAAGGTTTTTTTTTTTCTTTCTAGAGAAAGCAGGTGGGGAGAATGAAAGAACTAACATTTAGTGCACAGGAGGCGCTTCAAAGAAATACCACTGCCTGTGTTCCACCTCCACAGAGTCTGGTTTAATTGTTTTGGAGAGGGTCCCAGGCATAGGTATTTTAAAAAGTGCCTTAAGTTTGAGTATCAAAAGAAATAATGGCAGTATTGGATTAAAAAGCCCATAAAATAAAATAAATATCCACGAGCCCATGATGTCTTCAGTAAATTACTGAGTAAATAAATAAAAAGGGGGAAGAAACAGCATTTCCTTACAGAATAATTCCAATGAATAAATCGGGAAAGAGAAAATCACCATTCGAACAATGAAGTAATTGTGGCAGGAAAGACACACCAACGAATGGAATACGAGCGGAGAAAGAGATAAGGAGAAATAGGTTATTTGCATAAAGTTATTAATCCCAGATATTTATTAATGACAAAGAGAGAAACAGTAACCCTTTACAATGAGTCAATCCAGCAGACACCATCTTAACCAAGTGATCAAGGTTACCACGGCCAGTGATAAGACATTCTGACATCGTGTACTTCTCGACAGGAGATGTCTCTGCTTCTTTAGTATCCTTCTCAGTATAATGCATAACCTCAATCTAACAATGAGAACATATCACACAAATCCAGAGTGATGGGCATCCTACAGTAATGACCAGAATTCTTCAGAAGCGTCAGAGTCACGAAAGATAAGGAAAGACAGAAACTGTCACAGCCTGGAGGAGAGTAAGGAAACATGACAAGTCAAGGAGAAAGGGATTGGGTCCTGGAGGAGACACAGAACATCAGGAGGAAAAATGGTGAAATCTGAATAAGTTCTGCAGTTTAGTTAAGAGTGTTGTACCTGTGTTAATTTCTTAGTTTGATAACCGGACCCTAATTCTGCAAAACGTTAACATGAAGGGAAGCTGGGTGAAGGGTGTAGGAACTCTCTGTGCTACTTTTGCAACTTTTTCTGTTGTTTTAAACTTTTTCAAAGCAAAATTTTAAAAAATATAATAATGTTAAAAAGTCCCTTAGGAGATGCTAATACGCAGCCAGGTTTGAGATGGCCGATTTAGCTAAGCACCCGCTAACCTCAGCACTTGGCTTATATTATCGCCTTCACTCTCCATCAGGCGTTTCAGGTAAGTACCACTGCTCTGTGGCTGGTGAGCAGCCGGCACCCTGGAGAGAGTCGAGTGCCTGGCTTTAAGCACACGGCCTCCCTCGTAGGCCGTCCAAGCGGCTCGCCTTGCCCCTTTCAGCCCCAAACACAGTGCTCGGCACTCCACATGGACGGACTTGTTTAGGCCTCACATTGCCCCAGTGAGAGAGGTACTGCTACTACCCCTGTTTTACAAATGAGAAAACTCATGCACAAAGAACCTGAAGAAGTTTCAGGGCCCAGATTTGGACCACAGCTGTATTCTTAAGAGTGAGGCTCTGTGTTTTGGAAAAACTGCTGTCCCACCGGGTGGGTGTCTGCACTCATGGTGCCCCAGGTTCCCACTGGGGTGTCAGCACACAGTTGGGAGCAACGTTGTCCTTGCCCAGTCTCCCCAGCACCACCTACCCAGGTGCCTGTCGCGTGGTGGGCACCGTGCCGCAGGTCGGAGCGTGAAGCTGGGGCCTCTTGCTCACTGGCAGTTTTACCCGCTGATACTAATGGCAGCAGGAGTTTGTGACGTGCCATTTTTAAATCTTCTACAGCTAAGCTGTGCAACTGGAAAGAAATCTCATACATCAACAAGCAAGGGCAGATTCTTCCATTTCTGGGTACCATCTAGGCTGGGTTTGGGCTGGACTGAATATGAGGCTACGAAGGTCCCGAGGAAAGAATGATGCTTCTGCCTCTCTTCAGAGCTCTCAGATACCCTCTGCAAAGACACATGTCTCCTTGGCACTGGATACAG